AAAACTCATGATGGTGGAAAAATACACCGAAACGTATTTTAATTGATAAATAAAGACAATAAATGTCTGAAACCCAGGAATTAATTTTGATTTGGAATTTTCGAAAAACCAAGAAACTTACTGAAAACTGGTTCTAATTACAATCGGTTGTCCAAAGAAACTCGGCACACTTTCGTCCATAAGCGAGTGAGTTTTGATGAAGTTTAGCGTTAAATCTGGCAAAGTTCTGCTGTCGTTGTGGCATTGGCCTGGCCGAGGATCCGGCACTTTGTTGCTGATCACTGGCAGCCAGTTCGTATTAATCGCTGCCTGTTCTTTAAAGTTTCCCTCGAAAGTATCGGTGATTTCCTGCAGACTAAAAGCGCAAACCGCACTGCCCGAAATACTGTTGGGGGGAGTTGTGAACGTGCCATAGATTAGTTGGGCCGAAACGTCGCCGTATTTACCATCGATTAGCTCCGTCGTTGATTCTAAACAAATAGGAAAACAATATTAAAGAAGTATTTGTTCATTCATATAATAAGAGCACTTTAATAGCGCGTTTTTCTAAATTTGCCGAGATTTTGGCGTTAGATTCCGGCCCTGATGTTGCCAGACTAAGCGTTTCCAAAACATAATTTGGCTTCCACACCGTCAGGAAATAATAATTTGGATTAAAAATGTTTGTAAATTTATAAAGGAAAACGTCGACCCGCTGATATAACAAATGTGGGAGGAAGCGCAAGCGGACAATTTTGAATCCAATATCGCGCTGAATTGACCAATAAGATTTGTAATAATCAGGATATGAGGAGAGGAGGAAAGTAAAACGGTCTGGCCACCAATATCCTTTCTAAAATTAAAAACTAGTGGAGAATCCTTGTGTGCACTTGGCGCTAAGCAAGAATTTAATAACAGGTTCTCCAAAAAGATCCCAGCCGAACCACACTCGGCCAACGTGAATTTTGTCGTTATTTACCGGCTTTTATTAAGACTTCAACCGGTTTAAGCCATTCGTCAAAACTGTTTTATTCAGTTTGCTTCTRAGACGGAACTTTCAACGGGCAAAAGAAACGTTTATTGGCTGCCATAAATCGCAACAAAACGGGCAAACATGCCACTAGAACACATGTAGCGTTTTYCGTTCAGCTTTTTGCAATTTCCATCAGGAAGGACATCAGGCCATTCCTGCAGACGCTGAGTCTGCAGAAGCTGACATACGAACTCATAATTTCGGAATCCAATATCGGGGCACAGTATAAAAATTTAAACGGATGAAAACTGTAAAGTGTGCAATAATTTTCGAGAGGAGAATTTAATAAAATCGCTTGTTCCCTATGGAAAACGAATCGCACTAATCCCGTGTGTAGTGATCAGTCAGGTATAGTGTAGACTGTATACGAAAAGCGATTTATGATGTCCAGGCCATATTTAAGCAAAAGTGGGTAACTAAATAATAAAATTTCCCCAAGTAGAACGCCCGTTTTTCATGTCTCATAAATTAAAGATATCCCAGCGAGCAGCGACAAATAAAAAATTCCAGTCGCCCCGTTATTTATGGTGTATTCCTATGAAATATTTCCCGTAAGTTCTTTAATTCTTCGGTTTTTATTCTCCACACGAACCAATGTAATTTTTAATTAATTTCATTTAATATACGAAAGCGTTTTCACATTTTACCGAGAATTTATCTCGTTACCGACCGGAATAAAACCTACTTCCACTCTGAGCGCAAATGGCCAAAGCAATATTTGCTCGTTTTACTTCTATCGAATTTTAAACAGTTTTCACAATTCTCATTGCTAAGACTGATCGAAGAAGGAGTACAATTAGCAAAATTGAGGGTTCAAATGAACATCATTATCATTTCGACCGCTTCGGCAACTCTTTTTCATCACTCAATCCACTGGGAAACATTGAATGCCCTATTTTTACACCCGACAGCCTATAGTGACTTGGCTTTGTTGCTGCTCGCCCTAAACGACCCAATTCCACCCCAAAACACCATTTTTTCGATGCGTTTTGAATGGATCGCATATTACATGCCATGATTTTTGCAAAACTAGACAAAAGCGAGATAATAGTGCCACTGTTTAGACAAATTGGAACTGAACAATGGCCGTTTTTGTGGGAAATGTGCCAATTATTTCCACGCATGTTTTGCCTGTTATTGTTTAGCGATTTTCAAAAAATTACAGTCTTCTGTTGTCTATGAAATTAGAAAAATTATCGTCGTTTTGTGCAAGGGTGGGGTAAGATTATTGCAAAATTTCATGTTTTTCGTCCCGTTTTGCATGTTTCTCGGAAGTAAAATGAGCAAGAACGCTCGTTTTTACATCATTCCAAAGAGAACTAAATGGCCTTTTTAGAAAGTGAACCATCGATAAGGAAATGTTGCAGTTTT